GACTGGCCGCAATAGGAAATCCAAGTTTTACGTTAAAATATATAGGAAAAATCTTCTTCTCAAGAACCACTGGGCCAGAAAAGCTGAAACTTATGTGGAAGCATCCTGGGAAGTGTAAATTCTAAATTGTACAATCCATGATCCCCGGGGTAGAGCTGGGCCACTAAAGGAATCCAAGTTTTATATTGAAATATATAGGAAAAATCTTTAAATATCTTCTTCTCCTCAAAAACCTTGGGAAAAAAAGCTGAAACTTATGTGGAAGAATCATGGGGTAGAGTGATTCTAAGTTGTCAAAATCAAGACCTCTTGGGGTAGGATGGGGTCTCAATAGGTATTAAAAGGGGGGGGGCATCTGGTAAAGAACAGCAATGGTCAAATTTTCACAGGTGAGCGATGTAGCCCATGGACCTCTTGTTCATTCACTAGTGCTGTTTAGTATTTTAGGTTTGTCAGATGAGATTGAATTTGCTTAAAAGAATTATTCAAAATTTTCTAAAAGCTCCTTGTAGTTTATAAGTATCCACATCTTATTTATACCACCTCTCAAATAAATTAATGTGCGGTATTCAGGAAGTTCTCCCCCACTAACGTTAATATTACAGTGTGGAGTACAGAAAGAGGTCTATTGGAACGTTAACTGCAACCGCCTATGTATCTTTGTTTCGATTTTTTTTCACTTTTGGAATCATGGTTCAAATTCAAATTTCATTTGGTTGTTCAAGATATTATTATTATTTTAATTATATGTGATAACAGAAAAGACAATTTTCTATTTATAAAAATGTTCATGAAAATAGGATGCTTTACTCTAATGACAAAGCCTACCTTTTTCTGATCACAAAACCCAGCATTACTAGCATAACAGCACCCAATGTTGAAAAAATAGTCACTATTATTATTGTTCTGTTTTTAACTGAAATAAACATATACTTTTTTGATTTTGTGAAGATCATCTTTTATTTGGATGTGAAGTTAGTCATGGTGAACAAAAATATCTTCGTTGACTTACCCACCCAATGACGTTCATACTCAAAAGGTGCTGAAAAATAAATTAATTATTTTTAAACTAATTGTAAGAGGAAAACACATTCATCCTGATTTTAAGATATAATTTTATGAACTGAAAAAATTAAAATTATAAATACCATGTACTTTAATTACACATAAGATTTTAACATAAATGAATTACTGCTGTAAATATTGGTAGTATGAAATATACTGGACAATGTTTCTGTTTTTACCAAATAACGTCATTTTTGAAGTGTATCTTTGTTTAAAAGTCATTCTAATTTATATAATTAAGCATTCCAATGTTTAAAGACATAGTGAGAATTAATCGTTACATGCATAATAATATTTAGTTTTAGATTTAGCTTAAACTAACTGTCAAAATAATTTTTTTTACAAAAGGATTTTTAATGCCAAAAATAGGCCCCAGGATCACGAAACAAACTAAGACTTAGAAACAATTCAATCGCCTGTAAAATATTTATTAATCATTGAATTATTCTCTTAATTTGTAGAAAACGACACTTCTGTGAAGCAATATTTACAAATATTTTAGTTTTTGTCTGCTTGACTTAATTCAACATTTTAGAAGGACTTAAATATTTTGACTTAAGCTTAAGATGTTTCATGATTCCGGGGCCTTATATCATCTAAAGAATCATTAGATAAACAAAAAAAAAACCCCTTAAGTTCACGTACTATTGCGTACAAGAAAGTTCGCCACTGCAACGCCCTCGCTGTTTTCTACTACACACTGGTAACTTCCTCCATATCCCGATTTTGTTTTGTGTATTTGTAATATCCTACCGTTACCAGACAGTTGAATAACAAAATCTGCGAAATAAATAGGAATGTATAGTTTGCATACCAACTTTTCCTCAAATCAGTTCAATTTGAAGGAGTAGCATGTTGTATGGCACGCCAAATTCACAAAAATTAGCTAAACCTAGTTTCACAATTGCTAAACTAGGTTTATCGACTGTAAACTATAGTTTACAAACCGTGAACTATAGTTAACGATTCGATAAGTATAGTTTTCATCTGTAAAACTATATTTAACGGTTGTTAACTATAGTTTACGAATGATAATCTAGGTTTATCCGTCTGTAATAAAACGTTAACAATAGATTTTGTTGGTAAACATAGATTCACGTCTGTAAACTATAACATATGACCGTTAACTATAGTTAAGAGTTGTAAACCATAGTTTACAAATCGTGAAACTGTATTTATCAGATAATCTATGTTTTGCGATCGCAAATGATTGTTTTTGGTGTTAAGTATAGTTTACGATTCTGAAACATAGATTATCGCATTAACTATGGTTTACAAATGTGAAATATAGATTAACGTTGTTAACTATAGTTAACAGTCCGTAAACTATAGTTTACAACCGATAAACCTAGTTTATCGACTGTGAAACTATGATTAGCTCATTTTTGTGAATTTGGCGTGCTAAACATAGTTTCACAATTGATAAACTAGGTTTATCAACTGTAAACTACAGTTTACAAACCGTGAACTATAGTTTACAATTCGTTAAGTATAGTTTTCATCTGTAAAACTATATTTAACGGTTGTTAACTATAGTTTACGAATGCTAATCTAAGTTTATCTGTCTGTAATAAAACGTTAACAATAGATTTTGTTGATAAACATAGATTCACGTCTGTAAACTGTAATTTACGACCGTTAACTATAGTTAAGATGTGTAAACCATAGTTTACAATCTTGAAACTGTATTTATTAGATAATCTATGTTTTGCGATCGCAAATGATTGTTTTCGGTGTTAAGTATAGTTTACGGTTGTGAAACATAGATTATCGCGTTAACTATAGTTTACAGATGTAAAATATAGATTAACGTCGTTAAATATAGTTTACAATCCGTAAACTATAGTTTACAACCGATAAACCTAGTTTATCGACTGTGAAACTATGGTTTGCTCATTTTTGTGAATTTGGCGTGCCATAATGTTGTAATTGACGCCAGTATTTACACTGACTGAATTGTCTGACGTACATGTATTTCTTTTTTATACTTTCATTATACGTTTACATGCCCACTGGAATAATTCTCCGAATATTATATCTTTCCAGTATGATTACGATTTCACTGAATTCAAACTTTGTTATTTGTTAAACGGATAAGATTTTTTCAATAAAGATTTGTTGTGTATTGTTTTTTTAAATTAAATAAATTGTTTTAAAGTGGTTATTTTATTTAGGAAAAAATGCATAAGGTCTAAGATATCAAATATTTTCAATGTTATGTAAATGAAAACGTATTTATATTGCCGTTACCTTGATAGGAGTTGAGAACGTAGCCGTTTTTCATCCATCTGGTCACTACTGGATATGCTTCCCCTGGCGCAGAAAAAGCATCGCATGATAAAATAATTACGTCACTGGAAGAGTTCTCTGCAATCTTAGTCAAGAAACGTCTATTGTTTTCAACAAATTTTGGAGGGGCTTAAGAAAAGAAATAATAGAACTTCATGTTTAGTTATTAATTCGAAGTGAAACTTTTAAATACTTCCTTTTCATTCAAAATGTCTTTCACTCACAAGTTACATTAAGAAATGGATTCTGGGTAATGTTGTCATTGGCTATACATTGATATTGACCTTCGTCATCAAAGGTAACGTTCATTATCTGTAGAAGTCTTCCATTTTCTTTAATGATATACTTTCGATTACTTTCTATGCTCGAACCATTCTTGTTTTTCCATTTTATAACAGGAACTGGACTGGAAAATCAAATTCGACTTCAAAAAAGCTTTGCCAGCAGTTTGCTCTATATTTTTAAAGACGGGATTGTGAAAGCATCCCTTTTGCTTTAAAATAAGAGGGAAAGCTCACCTTCCAGAGAAAATGGACTTCAGTATTCCGAGTTGACCAACAAATGCCTTATATTTACTTTGATATACCGCTTGAACAGGAATAGATTTAGTTCTGGGATCTGTCCTGGAATCTGGTAAGAAATTAGATGTGATATGTTAAATCTTGTTTATCACATTGTACCTTGCAGCATAAATATAAACGGTAAGCAAACTACCCAATCAAATATTACATTTCAATAGTTTCTAGGAAACATATACTTTTTAAATATTCAATTCTTTTTCTTTCAGTATCAAAACAAGAGGCCCATGGGCCACATCTCTCACCTGAGTACTGTGGGTAGGAAAAAGTAGAAATTGGTTTATTATTGAAAAGTTTAAATCCAAAAGTAGAAATTGGTTTATTATTGAAAAGTTTAAATCCAAAAGTAGTCCCATGACCAATCATGGATTTGCTATTCTTAAGAAGATTTTTTTTTTTAAATTCCTTTATATTTCTATGTAAAACTTTGGTCGGCCATTGTGGCCCCGCCCTACCCCAGGGGTCATGATTTGAACAAACTTGAATCTACACTACCCGAGGATGCTTCCATACGAATATGATCAATTATGGATTTGCAATTCTTGAGAAGAAGATTTTAAAAGAATTTTCCTATATATTTCTATGTAAAACTTTGGTCGGCTATTGTGGCCCCGCCCTACCCTCCGGGGGTTATGATTTGAACAAACTTAAATTTACACTACCTGAAGATATTTCCCCATAAGTTGCATCTTTCCTGGCACAGTGGTTCTTGAGAAGATCTTTAAAACATGCCACCAAATTTTCATTAATTCCAATTATCTCCCTTTGAATGAGGGAGTGGTCCTTCATTTGATCAAACTTGAATTCCCTTCACCCAAGAATGCTTTGTGGCAAGTTTGGTTGAAATTGGCCCAGCGGTTCTTGAGAAGAAGTCGAAAATGTGAAAAGTTTACATACAGACAGACAGACGGACGCCGGAGAAAATGTGATCAGAAAAGCTCACTTGAGCCTTCGGCTCAGGCGAGCTAAAAAAGGAAAAATCAATAGTAAATGTGTTATCATGAGTTGCAATCTCATTTTCACCATCAAAAGAATTCAAGTGTGGATAAAACACATTTATATTCAATAAATATTGTAACCAAGGGGTGAAGTTTTGAAAATAATGGGATCTGTTTGCTTTTACATCATGTAGTCATAAGGTTCAATTTAGGACATACGCCACGCACCTTATCTACTGATAATTTTTCAAGATGTTCTTAATTTAAGATTATAGTGTCATCAAATGATTGTAGACAAAAAACAACATGCAATACCAGGGCTTTTGAAAAGATGTGAATTTGCTTTATTGTAAAATCAATTGCAGCAGAAAACTTACTCTAAAAGTTTTTTACAAATAAAAATACGAGGGTTGTTAGAAAAGTTCGCGAAAACATTGAATTACAGAAAATCTATTGTGTAATGTGAAGTATGACCTATGTCTGAATGAATTACTACATTTTGTTTATTTGTATGTAAAAAATTAGGTCCATATAATAAAATCTAAAAATTTTACAACTATTTTTACTATGGGGTTATGGGATTCACGGAGCAATCACTTGACGTAAGCGACGTGACAACCAGATTTCAACCCTTTAAGCTTTGTCGCAGTTTTTTCATTTCTTCAGATTTTTCTTATCTTTTTTCTACTTTAAAATTGAATATCTATATCGAGACATATTACTTTTCTACTATAAAGTCTTCTGTAATATTTTGAATATTATTGAGATCTTAAACAATAAAAAAAAAGTCTGTGCAGTCAATCGATCAGGTATGGAAACTATGCAAAGCCATATAGGCGCAACGCAACGTCCATGCGATAGGGGGGGGGGTATTGAAGTATCGATGGAGTAAATCATTCAAAATGTTACTCCTTCCATTCTTATGAAGCTACAACCATTTGAAAACTTGTTCTTTGTATGTGTAGGATATACTCGGCAGCATCTTGAACATTTTAATATCTTTTTGGACATTTCCTTGTCTGCACACATAATTTTAAAGTAGTGCAGTGCTCCATGACGCTCGATGACGTTCCGATTTTTGGCTGCGTTTTTACGCGATGATCATTTATAAACGGCAATAAAACAGTCATATACCATTCAATTTATTTCAAAATTTCTCCCAATGACGTTTTCTGCATACTTTAGCGGCAGGCAAAATATCATAAATCTCTTGGCACTACAATTGTGCAATCTTTAATTTTGAAAAAGAGTCTTTGTGATGTAAATGTGCCAAAATGTAACATGCTCCGTGAAGCAAGATTTATCAAAATAAAAATGCCGTATATTTTTTAATAATCACCGGAGAGCACCAAATTCTTGTATATTTATTGGAAAAAAGCTCAAGATTATATCTGGAAAGTTTGACCGGTTTCGTGGAAATAGCGCGCTAACAATAGAACTTGTCCGCGAACTTTTCTAACACCCCTCGTATTTCTGTTTATTCTTATTTGATTTACCATATACTTGGAGGTTTATTGACCTCCCCGTAACTAGTGTCTTTTTGCGTTCGTTCCAAATTCCACATGCATATGTTTTGTTGCCATCAGATTTCTTTATGCTTAGGAAATGAAGATTCCCTGTAATAATGACATTAAACATGAGATTGTGTTTTGATTTCTTTACAAGCAATTGTTAATTAAAAACCTCTTAAATTCAGTGAAAATTACTATGACGATCATGTTTATGACACATTTATTACTAGTATGTCGATTTAAATCTTGAAATTGACAAAGTGGAAATAAATTGGAAATCCCAAAATTTACAACATAATACATTATCCCTTTAAAAATGTGTTCCTTTACAAATCTATATTAAAAAGTCTTAAGGTACTCCGATCCTTAGGTTCTGGAAATCAAGCATTGACTAATTGAAAATGCTCACAAAAATGTCTCTGAATTTTCAAAGTAACGCGTTTTTACCCATAATAATTCTTCAGACTTCATCTTTCAAGTTTATCATATTATATAGAGAAAATTAGTAAAACTCAAATATATTTTCAGGAATTGCGAATAAAAACACCTGCTATGCATTTTATAATATAAATTTGATCAATTAACACATTTTAAAAATGAAAATCATAGGTATCCAGGCTTTTGAAGAAATTCCACAATTTTTATGCATATAATGTACTTTAATTTCTTTTATTTACTTCGATCATTTTACAATGCAAAGTGTATAAAGATTCTCCAGTCATTGCAAAGCTTCATAAATCACTTTTAATTTGATATCATGTTAATAAACATTGGTATTGATGGTTAGATTAAAATGAACTTCAATTTCTTCATATATGTATTTTAAAATGCCTTTTTCGGGGTAAAAATTTCGACTTTTAATTAGACCTTTCTGAGAACTTCAAAGAACCTTGAAGCACATTAAGAGGTATATAATGAAAATTATTGCATGAAAAAATTTAATTTTCCAGCTTCATTTTGAGACTTTTTGAACTAAATTATAAAATAAAGAGTTGTCCTTCCTGGCTGAGGATCGGAGTCCCATAATAACATTTCTAATGTTTTGCTGAGCGGGCATAAAAAAATCGATGTTTGGCCGCTGAGTGAGATGTTGGACCGGTCGATGAGATGTTGGACCACTTACGTCACAAAATGGGAGGAGCATATTCTCATTTTTATTCGTTGGTGTTTAGCAGTGACAGACCTGAGGTTACAGAACGACAGACATACAAAATACACGTGTAAAAAAAATGAAAGTCATCAAAACATTTATTGACTGTTTTCGGGCAAAATGTGTTTTGTCCACCTCAAACCAAACTGTCTACCTTCTGCCTAACGGCCTCAGGCAGACATTTTGGTACTTGGGTCCGACAAAACGCATGTTGCCCTCAAACTTAGTTAATAAATGTATATAGTTACCCTCAACCTAGTCAATTCTTTAACAGATATAAATAGCTTCTTTTTTTTACACAATAATGTAACACCATGTTCATAATTTGTTACCTTCACCGTCCACTGCTGTTTCCTTTCCTATGGATACAGTATTCGATGTTCCAATGCCATATTTCCATTCTATATCACACGATTCTCTCGGCTCACATCTAGGTTTATCCATACAATTCAGCTGACAATGGTGGTGTTCCTCACAAGTTTGTGTCAGTGCCTTCGTAGGAAATTTATCAAGAACTAAAAATATATTTTAAGAGTAAAACTGAAAAGCAAATTTTGCGATGTAAATCCAAGAGCACCAAAATATATTTGCCATCGAAAATCAAAAGAACATTTGCAATATTCACACCATGTCCATCTTGATATATGTGATGCTGTAAAATCACTTATTTTTTTTATGTTAAATTCAATTTCGTTGTTTGAGAAATACTATTAAAATTGGTTCATAGAAATTTCAGGATCTCCTCATACAATGAATCAGCTAAAACGAACCCTCCACTGAAAAATGTGAATAATGTGAAATACTGTAAATCACTTTTTATTCGCGAGAACTTTATTTTCGCGTAATTAAGCGAGACAGTGTACTCGCGAAAATTTAATTCTCATGTATAAGTATTCCTTAGGATTATATAGAGCAATAACCACAATTCGTGAAAAATTTGTCTCGCTAATCAAGGGTCACTGACTATCTCGCTAAAATAAAGTGTCGTGAAAATTAAGTGATCTACAGTACACCCTTTAAGCTTTCTACTGAATTAACGTAGATTATATATATTGAACATTTTAAATCTGTTTGAGCACTACTATAAGAATACTTATATAATGCAACTTTTGTACTCACTCGCTTCAGAGATTTTAACAAACAAGGATACTGAAGTTCCATATTTATTTTCTGCCAAACAATAGAATTCTCCAAAATCACTCTGTGTGAGATTTTGGAAGAAGATTGCTCCAGTTTTCTTGTTCACTACAATACGCCCATTGTTGTTGAATTTCATGTAATTTTTAAACCAACTATACCTGAAAAAAAAATATGTCAAAACCGATATGCAGTAAGCATATTGTATATTGTTTCCTTTGTTACATTAGATTTCAATCTACATTGTGTTGTAAATAATTTTCACTGTCACTTACAGTGTAATGCTGAAAGGTACAATTAAACGTACTCACGTGATTTCACCGTTGTGAGCACTACATAGTAGAGTCAAAGGAGAAGAATGAAAACGAGGCAAGAAATACTCTTGTTTAAACTCTGACGTTATCACGGGGGGAAGGTTGGATGGACATACTCCTATTGGTCAGTAACAAAACTAATTACGGACTTATCTAATTAACTTATCAGATATCGGAATTTAATATATAATCAATTAATTGTAAATTAAGAACATTATAAAAATTAAATTCATAGAATTCATGAATACAGTACTTTTTAATTTAAATACATTACCATGAATATAAAGAAGAACGCTGCCAAGAACGAAAATTTTCATGGCGCTTTATTCCTGTTAACACATATATTCAACAGATTTTTTTTATTGGTATTGACTTTATTTGGCAAACATATGCATAAAACAGAACGATATCCATGTCTTTATGGGAAAAGCGATGTATCATCGTTTAGACTGTTTCCTCAATCGAATATATTTTGATCCACAGTCTCTATTTAAAGCTTATATTTCAGGAAATTTGCTTTCCCCATTGCAGTGTCTATTAATTAACTAAATATGAGCAACATTCTGATTCAAATGTAGGTTTCTTGAATATTTATGCACTCATGACAATGAAGATGGGTGAACAAGGCATTCAAAGTGGCTATAGTGCAAATAACATGAATTGAAAGATAAAATCTTAATTATATTAAAATTTTCTTTATTATTTAATCTAGCATTAAGCAAAATCTCTACAATTTACAAAAAAAAAAAAAGCAAAGAATAAAATTATTTGCCTATGAAAAAGCATACACACAATATCTAGGGAAAAAGATCATTTTCTCATATTTTCACAAAATTTTTCGATATGAGTGGGTCATCGCTCCATTTTATTGAAAGATAATCCTAAAAGCTTGCAATAAAATATAATTTTAAGTTTTCAGAAACATAAAGTAAAGACCCACTATATCTTAAAAGAACACCTTTATGACAAAACATTCGCATCTTTCCAAGAAATAATTTCCCAATTTTCTAAAACATATCGAGAAATATATGGAGGCAATGAACAATATTTCAAGCTTAAATGTCCTTTAAGTAATACAATTTTTTAAGCAAACAGGGGTCTTAAAAACAGCAGAGGTGGGATCAGGTGCCATGGAGGAGTGGGTATCACCTTCTGACCATTCACATGTGCTTCTTGTCACGATCGGGAAATAACGTACATTTACTCTAATTTATGTTTATACAGATTATCGTGTATGTTAAAATGCAAAATTCTCATCTATAAATCCCTACAATTTATTTTTATGATGACTTGATGCATTTAGGTCTAAATCGAAAACAAGATTCTTGCAAATGAATTTATTTTTTTCAACATCGACCTTTTACATTATCAACAATTATTGTGCAAAGTATAACTTCTCATAATTCTGTTAAACATTGTATGACCCTGCAACTCATATTCTGCATAAGATATGCTGGATAATCATTTTCCAAAAACACATAGAAATAAAGACTGATTCTCCATATGGAATACATCAATCACTATCAATCATTTGATTATTATCTCGTCCTTTATATGTACTATTGTATATTCCACTGACATTTTCTGAATGATCATAAAGGTTCGATTCAGCATCGTCCAACGGCGGAGTGCTGCTTTCCCAAAATATTGTAGTTATTTTCCGCACAATCATCTGCGTCCTGAATTTGTGTCATAGTTTCAACACTATCAATATCTGTCCGTTCAGTTTGAATTTCAACATATGAATATTCAGGTTCCTTAGTAATAGTACCAGTAGAGTCGTGTTGTGAGTACAAATTGTTGGTTACAGCGTGCTTGAATCGCACAGCTAAATCTGTGTTTTTTGTAGGAATGAAAATTCTACAAAAGTATAGTTATCACTAAATTGTTTTCGTTCACTGACATGAATTTCAACAATTTTAAAATATTCTGAACAGCACACTATTCCTCTCACCTTTTATATATGAATATTGCTGCTACACCTGATAATAGAATTCCAACAAAAGCTGCAATAGTTATTAATACAGATCGCAAAACATCAGCTAAAAATTAAAAAAAAAAGTAAAAATTAAATAATTTTGTCATATAGGTCAAAAGGAAAAAGGACAAATAACAGATTTAGGCAATCGTAACCTTAGAAACAAACACAAAGAAAAATCATGGTCAGACAAGTGTTATCTTCTTTTCCATCTGATAATAGAAGAAAATTATACTTATTTCAATACACAATTCACCAGAAAAACCTGCCTCTGCCTCTTTTGGATGATCTTGAAAATCTTTCTCATTCAGCTTTAACCCGAGGCTACCATATTTTGGAAAGTATTCAACATTTTTGATAGTACATGTATATTCCTAAAATGACCTTGCTAATTAACTGACCAAGACCCAATGTCCCATTCCAAAAGTCAATATAAATAAGAAACTTAGTACCTTCATTTCAAATAAAAAGGTTAATGTTATAGCTTTAGGTACAGTATTGTGGAACAGGGTTTAAGAAATTGCAATGTTCTTGAACTTTGAAGAAAATGGATTTTGATACCTCCAGCCATACATTTAAAATAAGAGCTTAATTTCTAGTATCCTCGAACCAAAATATAAAACATCTTAACGGTTCTTTAATTATATAGTTACAGATTTGAATAAGAAGTAGTGGTCTAGGCAAAATATTGAAAAAAAAACTTAATTTTTTCAGCCATTCTTGAAAAAAAAATTTCAGGATTTAAGGAAGCTCTAAACACTGCACACTAAAGAGCTATACTTATAGTACAATTTTATGCAGTTAGAGTGATCTGCCCTTAGAAGTAAGATTTAAAAAAATGTTATTTACAGTTAATTACACGATTTGTAATAGATTAAAATATTTTTAGCATTATATAAGACCAAGAATAAGTAATTGAATCCATTGTTTTCATTAATTTTCCCAACGTAAGTAAACAGCAGTGATTTCTGCTCATAAGTAGTCCATTATCTTTAAAAAAAAATTCCTGCAGAAATGAGGCAGGTGCCCTATGTTATAAATGATTGAAAAAGTCTCAATATGGACACCTTTATATGATATATTTTTCTCCAAGTTCAAAAAGCACTTTATGTTAGTGTTTAGAGCTTCCTTAAGGATGATGATGCTATACAGGACGCCATAATACCTGAACTAGTAAGAATATTTTGTCATTTTTATAGATATGCAATTTCACCCATTTTCTTTAACTCCTAACACTGATTTTCATTGACAAAAATATCAGTAGATTCAAATGGAAAATAGTTTTAAGTTTGAAGCGTTGTTTACTTTTTCAAAAATAAATATAATGTCTAATTATGATGTGAAGAAAACTTGATATGGTAAATAATATTTTTTAATCTCACAATAAAATTAAAGATATGAGGAATATATGAAAATGATATTTACTATCATACCTATCTAATCCACACAATAAAACAGAATGAAGCATTGCTATTTTAATCAGAATATCACATTGTTTTCTGTTCTTGTAAAATAAAATAGTCTATCTAGAAAAGTTATCTTTCTATTATCGTTCTTAAAAATATTTTTAGTAAAAAAAAAAAATAATAAAATATTAATCAATTGGTCATAAAAATTATGGATTTGAAATTTCAATAACAATTAAAAGATAAATATTTCATTTTTCACAGTTTTAAGAACTGAGTATAAATGTTTTAAATAAACATAAAGGAGTATATATGATAAGAGTCAATTTTGGCCCCCTAAAAATCAACATTTTAGAATGACATTCAGATATGTTTAATTGATATTCATTTTGAAGAAGAGTTATATTAGAAATATTTCTATTATATTTTTCACATTTAAATGCACTTTCTAGATGTAAATGACATGAGAAATAATGCTATTTTTGCTATCTAACAAAAAAGTCAAAAATATGCCTTTTTCTTGATGTTTTTTCTTATGGGAAACACAGAGCGCAGGGTAGAACATACATAATTTTTCTGTCACTAATCAGTATTGGGTAGATGCATCTTTGGTAAAAATATAAAGCTTGTTCTAGGCTGCGCTCTATATTTTCTGGTAGAAAAACTGCTTGAAAATAAGCAGTTTTATACAAAATATGCTAAAATGGCGGGAAAACGTGATTTTAATGATGTCATATTTCTAAAATAACGGGATTTTGATCAAAATGAAAATGACCAATAAAGGTCGCATATATAGCTGTACAAATTAAATCTACTGTAAATCACTTTTTATTCGCGGAAACTTTATTTTCGCGTAATTACGCGAGACAATGTGCTCGCGAAAATATGATTCTCGCATATAATAATATTCCTATGGATGATAGAAAGCAAACACCACAATTCGTGAAAATTTTGTATCGCGCATAAAGAGGCAATGACTATCTCGCGAACATAAGGTGTCGCGAAAATTTAGTGATCTACAGTATGTATAAAGTAAAATTAAGATATTCATTTTTAGGGGCCAATTGAGACACTTACCATATATCGCTCTTTTTAATGAAAATATTGGCAATAGAAAATAGAAATCAACATTTAATTTGTACGACAGCTCAGATCTAAATGACTTGAACAGAAAAAATGTCCTCATTATTACAGTCTGAAAAAACTATTCAGTGAATTGCCTGGAATAATTTCCTCGAAAAGTTATCTCTCTTTGTCAGAAGGATATCGATATTACATCTTAACACCATTTTCTTTATAAAAGTATAAATTTTACTTACTGGACAGATGACCATCGGAGGAAGCTAAAATTCGAAACATACGAAAATCAAATGATTACTGAATTGACTTTGTGGAACTCAAAGGAAACTATGTTGTTTTTTTAAAATACAATATAGTTGTTTTCTTAATAAAATCAAATGCAAAACAGAAACCTATTCTTTTAGATCTGCAGTCGTTATTACTTAATATTAGAGTTAGTTATAATGTCTTCATTTCACATTGCTTTACCATAGATAAAAGTTTATTTCAAGTTTTTTTTTCAAGTTCCTTTACAAAATAGATTTCTAATATTGAAATGTATGTACACTGAAATCTTTCTCTTATCGCTTGATATAAATGGGTTACTCGGTAATTCAATATTTCGAAAAACATAGCATTAAAAAACAAATGAAATATATTCTAGAAATAAACATATAACAATGTTTTTTGTTTTTTTTCAATTTTCAAATAAAATTAGGAAGTAGGCCTGATATTGATATTCCGTAGATTATGGTTTGGCAAAGATTAATGTATAGATAAAGAGAAGGAAAATATATTGAACATAGAATTATTAATTATATACCGTTTTTTTTTTGTACTGAATTAACTTGTTTCCTCAGAAAATGAAAAAGGAAATCTAACTCAGCTGTATCTTACAAGTTGACAAGCAAATGAGTAAACTGCCAAACTATTCAATCAATAACTCTGAAATATGTTCATTTATAAAGATTTGTGACTGATATGAACATTCAACTATGAACAGTCAATTAGGTTTACTGAATGAACACTGTCAGATAAACGATTTGTTAGTGAAAACTACATGTATTTGCCATTCAGCACCATTCAGTCACTTGATGCCGTTCTTTTACTGACAGTTCATATTTGCCCTAATATGATGTTGCATCAACTTTTAATTTTGATCTAAATCCAGTAACTGAGAAAAAATATTACCCAAATAAAAAAAAATAATACCATGTTAACAAATTATCACATTTTCACTATCTCTGTAGACCTACATGTATACATGTACATCTATCGTGGATTTGAGACATCAGAAGTTCACGATAAGGAATTACAAACACAGAAAAGACACTTTTCATGGAAAAAATTCATGCTTTATATGTTCATGCGCATTTATTATTTACTAGTTACAGAACGGTCGAAAGTTTAAAAGAGAGAACGGTGTAACGATATTTTTTTTTTTCCAAATAATCATTTATTATGGTCAATTAGGGATTTATTAGTCCCTTGCAGGTGAAAATGTATGTCCCTCTGTCTTGTCTGTCAGTCTGAAATATTACCATAAGGGAGTAAAAAATTTGCTACTGCAATTCCTTCACTATTTTCTATCACACATGTGTAACAACCACTGTCGTCTGAATTCTCGTTGTAAATATGAAGAGTCTTTTTGTCCCCTGAAAGCTGGTATCTATCATCTGTTAAAAAAGATATATAAAATAAAACAATGCACTGTTAGTAATAGCGTGTAATTATATATATACATATATATATATTTTTAAAAAGAATCACAATTTGCTTATCAATTGCCTGATGTGATTAAATATATTGTTTATAAACAATTTGAAAATATTAAATAGAAGGAAATGTATATGCACCCACCTTCTTCACCTAAAAAATATTACAATGTAGGAATTCATTAATTTTGAACAGAGGACCAATGATCGATTCTGATTTTATTATCATTTGAATATATAATTATATAACAACAATTATGTTTACGCTAGGAAACACTACTCGTCATTCATTTGTAAAATAAAAAACAAAAACCTTCGTTCAAAATCTCTCCATTTTTCATCCAATTAATTACAATGGGATCGATTTCGGCTGTTGCGGACATTGCGTTGCATTGGATAACAGTGGACTCTTTTGTCGAAATCTGAAGTATTTTTGTCATGTAACGCTTACCGACATCAGGAAAAAGCGGAGGGGCTAATTGCAAAATTGAAAAGAAAAGATAGTTGTTCTTATAAAAATATCAATTATGAATCAAAATTAAATGTACAATTGTAGAAAAAGATTTAAAAACTCTGAAGAAGCAACTTCTTCGTACATGTGACATTGAGGAATGGATTTTGAAGAAGGTTGCTGTTGGTTTTACATTCATAGACACCCTCATCAGCAAATGTTACGTTTATGATTTGAAGCAGTCGTCCATATTGACCCACGATGTATTTGTCGTTTGTTGTTATATAGGTTCCGTTTTTGTTCTGCCATGCAATTTTTGGAACAGGGCTATTAATATATACAATACATACTTTATATGCATGTGAAAAACAAACAAAACTTTTGAAATTTTATGTTGTGGTATATGAATTTCTCTGCATCGAGCAAAATTTTGGGTAGTCAGAAGTTACAAAGGAAACATGCTTACTTTCCAGAAAAAATACAGACAAGGGTAGCATTTTCTCCAACGAAAGATTTGTCGCCACTTTGATAAACTGCCTCTGGGAAAATTCCTTTTGAAGACTCTGCAAAAGATACGTAAGATACAAAATGGTAGCCTATATAAAAAATACAGTAATTTATTTTAAAGATTGGAATCTAAACATTATTAGTGAATCCAAATGAGAATATTTTCTACTGTTCTTATTTAATATACGTATAGACAACGTTCCTCATCATTTTTTAAGAAATGTAAGATCAAATAATTTTAATCAAAAAAGAGGAAATAAGAAAAAAGATCTTGACACTTTGTGAGAATGAATAAAAATGGAAATGAAAAAAGAAGTAGATAGATAACACGATAAAGTATGACGAAGCGGGTAACAATTGTAATTTTCAATAATTTTTGATTTTGTGGATGAGAGAAACTAGGATCTTAAAGTGGTTATCCAACTCCAAATCAAATTTCTTTTAATGTAGACTTAGATAGAAGCCTGGAAGGTCACGTGCTGGTGGTCATAACGAAGTTTTATTCTACATTGTTGCATCTCAGCAAATCAGAGAGATAGGAGTTATTAAATTATAACATAACTTACCTACCATTTATCTGGAGATATGTATTGCTGATCATTTTTAATACATTCATTCTTTCATTCCAAATTCCACAAGTGTAATTTTTATACGCGTCAGATTTTCTTATGTTCAGAAAATGAAGATTTCCTTAAAAAAAAAAATCAATACATTAGAATTGATTAAATCTTAATCTAAACATTATTTTTTAATTGAAAAACATCTGTATATATTTTATTATAGTTGGGCTATGTAGCTTCTGGAAAATTTATGTTTGAAACTTTAATTGTACATGATTTAGATTTACCTTCACGATCCAAGGCTACAGATTCGCTATACAATACACCTTTTGAGGTTCCAGATCCAAGATTCCATTTTATCATACATTCCGTTTTAGGTTGACACCGTGGTTGATTGAGACAGGAAAGTTTGCAATGATGATATTCCCTGCATGTTTCTTGCACGTTCGATACTGCAGAAAATTGTTCAAGATCTACAATATAAAGTTATGGCAACTTCAGTTCTGTTTGTATACAATTTAACATATATCAAGCAATGCAGCACAGAATTAGAAACAGGAAATATTTTATGATCAAGATTGAGCCTTGTAATTGAATTATCTGAATAATAAATCTTTCGTATCATCGATAACACTGCCAAAAGATTAAAAATTATATCTCTTTGTTGTTTTTGGTGGTCACTTTTAACCGTCTGAAATACCTTTGTAGTAGCAACAATTTCAACGATTCAACAATGATATACGAGGGACGTTCAATAAATAATGTCATCGGTGCTCGGAAAGAAACAAGAAACGCTTTTCTATGATTTAGTCTTAATGATTTAAATAAAATATTGTCTTTTGATTAAAACACATGTCCGTATCATTTTTATTCAATTTCTAATTGTTTTTAGAACACATTTTTGAGTATGGCCCTTCGTATGCTGGAATATGGCAGATCCTATGATTGATTTCCTGTACTTGTTTTTTTCTTTCTGACAGGTATTTTTCAAGTTTGGGAAATGAAACAAGTCAAAGGTTGAATGTGCTGGCCAATATTGTTGGTGTGACCAAACATTAACTTTATTTTCATCCCCAGAACTTTACACTTCATGGCCTGTGGGTTTGGACGCTGTCATGAAGAAATTCAATGTAGTGAATTCCTCATTCTGGCTCCTTCCTCTCATAAACCTTTCACTTTTTTGCAAAAAATTGCTTTCTAGACTCTTCCAGAAATTGAAATTTCTCCCCAATAAGAATTTGAACAACAAGACCACTAATACTTATGAAAATAGCATATGAAACTTTTTTTTTTTGCTCTTACAATTCTTTGCTCTTTTTAGGCCTTTGCTATTTTGTCAAGTTTATCTCAATGTAAATTTGTTCTGAGGGTTTACAGCAAAATGAACTCAAGTTTCATTATCTGTTTGAATTTCAGACAAACGTGGATAAGTAAATTTTTTTTATTTTTTACAATAACTGTTTAGATATTCCTACACGCTGTCGTTTTCACCCATTTTTCAAAATATTGGGTGACCTTTGAGTATTTAACTTTTTTACTATCAAATGTTTCTTTAAAACAGTGTGAACTACCCCCAAAATGATGCCTATCAATTTTGCTATATGTCTTAGAGTCAATCAAACATACTCAGTGATAAATTGTTGAAATCTTTTAAATATACATTGGTTGTTGTATATCCTTATCGCCAAGGATGGTACCCACTTTTGATGTCCATTATATCATTTTTGTTCATTGAATTCCACCTGCTCATGTGTGTATAAAACAGACATGTTGCTGTAAATTTCACATATTTCAGTTAATATACCCGGTATCTTTGGGATTCTTAACAAGTTTTACAGCAGCTTTAATGGAGAGTTTAATTTCACTCTAGTTTACTGATTCTTGACTATTCATTTTAAATACAGTGTCTCGAGTAGCCCTTGTTTTCCAGCTTCTCACAATGTAACTATGTGATGAAAAGTGGTCACATAAACTGTTATCAACTCATTAAAGATTCAATAATTAGAGAAAGTCAATCCTAATGACCATGATTTCTGTGTTGTACGTTATCAAGCTGATGACATTATTTATTGAACGTCCCTCGTATGTAGACTAATACTATATCTTGGAATAGTTGAATAAATGAGGTAATATTTACAGGTATTAAAAATTTTTTGTTGCTACAGATGTGGTATTCAAAACGTCTAAAACATTCCAGATAAATTAATCATATATATTAAAGATTACAGATGATCTGTAATTGGTATTAATCTTTTTTCGATCTGACATCATGTTGAAAATCAATTATAATTGCTTTACCTGCTTCCGATAATTGAAAAAGCAGTGAGACTGAAATTCCAAACGTATTTTCTGCCGTACAATAATAAACACCAAAGTCCTCTTTTTCTAAATTTCTGAAAACGATTTTACCAGTTGACGGATTACAGGAAACTCGATCATTTTCCACAATCTTTGAATAATTTTTATGCCACTGATACCTAATTAAATGAATGAGACATAAAACATTGCCATCATCGTATTCTATTTGGTATAATAACTATTTATCTTTGCATTATCACCACGACATCTGATCATTGCAAAGGTATTGTAAACTGTTACTAACCTGAGTACGTTGTTCTTGGCTTCGCAAAACAAGGATAATGGAGTAGAATGAAAGATCGGTACAAAATACTCCGGTTTAAACTCTGATGTTATAACAGGAGGCAGATTAATAAATTCTGCTCCTAAAAATCAGAATATTATTTTGTTTAGCTTTTCAATCAGGATAAGTTTTTTATAACACAAAGAAATACATTTTTACCTTTGCAGAAGAGGGTTCCATCTCTGACACAAAGGAAAATGAGACTGATCACAAGGTTCTCCATCTTGATTCTTCAAATATTGTACTTTGTAGAACAACTAAGGGAACAACATTTATATCTCTAAGTGTTTTGTCGTCTGAGCTAAATATATATGCACACTAAATAGTATAGGAAACAAATTTATAGGAATCGGAAACAAAGTTGTCGAAACTGTGAAAATACTAGGCGGAAAAATTGCTCTTCAGGAAATTGATAGTCTTATACTCACCCACGACTAGTATCTTCCATGTACTATTTGTGAAATGAAACATAGGGAGATAACGAACAGTATTCAAGATCAAAAGTCCTTTAAAAATACAAAATAGGAGCAGAGCAAACACGGACCTCGAAAACATCAGAGGTGGGATCAGGTGCCATGGAGGAGTGAGCATCCCCTACTGACCGGTCACAACCACCGTGTGTTCCTTGTCATGATCAGAAAATAACAGGGAAATACGTTATCAATTCAGTGTGTAAATAATGGACTTACAATAAGTATGAAAAACTTCAGTCAGCATTTGACTCAATAAATTGTATTTGCTGACATGGTCATTGTATCGACCATAGAACTTACGAAATAATGACTTTAAACGAGACTGTTGATATTATAGATCCATCAACTTGTTTGTCAATAATTTACCTCGTTTTCGAAATTTTTCATACAAAGAGCATTGCTCTTGTGTATAGAATCAGCTGAGATATATAAACTCCGTATTCATGCGATGAAGGTACATGTATATTGCTGCATAAGTAAACGAAGTTGACGATAAAAAAAAGTTAAAAGTCATCACGTTTATCATAGAGATTGGTTGTAATTTCAGGAATCACTATCTAGTTAGGAGAATATCCCAGGGCATCAACGATAGTGGGAACCATGGAATGATTTGCATTTGGGCTAAAATTATCCTATGTTTCCCACTATCGTCTATGTCTCTGGCATATAGTCTGATTTAAACAATATTTATTCAGTAAACTGAATAGATTGGGCAACAGGCTTAAGCCTATAAATATCCTCTCTATACAACAGGTCAAGGTTACAATACAATGAACAGAGTATATATATACAATGTATATTTAGATATGAGTGCTCACATACGCATTCACACACACCCTCACACACGCAACCACACCTGACATCATAATAAGCATAACAAATATAAACATGAATAAAGTGACAAGAATGCATATAAAAAAGAAGAATGTGCTTAAAAACGTTGTGTTAACTTGACATATTCATGTACTTTTTTTTTTTATAATATTGAGGTTCGTTTGGAACGAATACTCCGAACTCCCTTGTAAAAGAATTTTTAGATCATAAGGTACATCAAGCTCATTTAACTTTTTTCTTAGTTTGTTTCTTTGAATGCTATATGCTGGACAATCCATAAAAAAGTGTTCATTATCTTCTATATAGTAATTACACTTCGGACAAGATGCATCGGCTATTATATAATGATTTTTTAGGTGTGCATTAAGATTACTAGCTTTATTACGTAGTTGACAGTGAAGTATATTCTCATTTATGTATTCTTATGCTTATATGCAAGCTCACCGCAGCTTGTTTTTGCTAATTTTGTATAAGTCAAATAAAACACTTTCATAGAGATGAATAATGTCATTTATTAAAATGACGGCATAAATGTGAACAATTTAACAAACAAGAAGGGGATCAGATTCACAAGCTTTGATTAGCAGTTACGTAAAATATGATAATGTCTGATCCCCCAAAACTGACTAGAAAAAAGTATCTGTAAGACAAGACAATGAAAACTTCATATGAAAAAGTTAGCAAAAAGATGGCACATCAAAACAAAATAGGCACTTCATATGAAAAAGTTAGCAAAAAGATGGCACATCAAAACAAAAACAAAGTAGAATCAAAACATCATATTAAAAAGTTAGCAAAAAGATAGCACATCGAAACAAAATAGGCCAAGGATAGTAGTGAAACAAAATACATTAAACAGTATAAAAAAATCGAGTCAGAACTAATGAAATATATGATTTTACATGACACATTAATACCCATTTTTAGGGGTAGGAATGCAGGGGTGGTGGAGGGTCTTCAAAATAGACTTGCTTCATTTTAGCGTGGTCAGCCTGCGGGTTATCACAATACAAATAAATGACTCGCTTAGCTGACCACGTGACCTTACACCTTCTATCACACGTAATTCATCAACCAAGGCGTGGATCTAAGAATTTTCACATTTTACCAAAATTAATCCTATCGAAAACCTCCAACTAAGTTATCGCATTCAATACATAAATACAATTATCATTCTAATAATTGTTGTTTTATGTATTCTTATGCTTATATGCAAGCTCACCGCAGCTTGTTTTTGCTAATTTTGTATAAGTCAAATAAAACACTTTCATAGAGATGAATAATGTCATTTATTAAAATGACGGTATAAATGTGAACAATTTAACAAACAAGAAGGGGATCAGATTCACAAGCTTTGATTAGCAGTTACGTAAAATATGATAATGTCTGATCCCCCAAAACTGACTAGAAAAAAGTATCTGTAAGACAAGACAATGAAAACTTCATATGAAAAAGTTAGCAAAAAGATGGCACATCAAAACAAAATAGGCCACAAGATGTGACATGCAAGTCACATCCATGTTAGGTGTGACATGCAGATCACATCCGTGCCAAACAATATAGGAAACTCTGACCCAACAATAAATAAACAATATGGGTAACTCCCAGCCAACAATAGACAATATGGGTAACTGTGATCTAACAATAAACAATATGGGTGGGTTACCCGACTCTTCCATAACAATATGAGTAACTCTGACCCAACAATAAATAAACAACATGGGTAATTCCGACCGAACCATAAACAGTATGGATAAATCTGACGCAACAATAAACAATAAAGGTAACTCTGACCCAACAATAGACAATATGGACAAGTCCGACCCAAACAATAAACAATATAAGTAACTCCGACCCAACAATAAACCGAAAAGCTTCATACGACGCCAATTGATTGTCAGTATGAGCATCCAACAATAAAACAATATGGGTAACTCCGACCCAAACAATAAACAATATAAGTAACTGAGACCCAACAATTAACAATGTGTGTAACATCGACCCAACAATAAACCGAAAAGCTTCATACGACGCCAATTGATTGTCAGTATGAGCATCCAACAAAAAAAAACAATATGGGTATACTGACCCAGAAGGTACAAATCTACTGTGTACCAAAACAATATGGGTATACTGACCCAAAAGGTACAAATCTACTGTGTACCAAAACCAAACAAATTTGGGTATACTGACCCAAAAGGTACAAATCTACTGTGTACCAAAACCAAACAAATTTGGGTATACTGACCCAGAAGGTACAAATCTACTGTGTACCAAAACCAAACAAATTTGGGTATACTGACCCAAAAGGTACAAATCTACTGTGTACCAAAAACCAAACAAATTTGGGTATACTGACCCAAAAGGTACAAATCTACTGTGTACCAAAACCAAACAAATTTGGGTATACTGACCCAGAAGGTACAAATCTACTGTGTACCAAAACCAAACAAATTTGGGTATACTGACCCAAAAGGTACAAATCTACTGTGTACCAAAACCAAACAAATTTGGGTATACTGACCCAAAAGGTACAAATCTACTGTGTACCAAAACCAAACAAATTTGGGTATACTGACCCAAAAGGTACAAATCTACTGTGTACCAAAACCAAACAAATTTGGGTATACTGACCCAGAAGGTATAAATCTACTGTGTACCAAAACCAAACAAATTTGGGTATACTGACCCAAAAGGTACAAATCTACTGTGTACCAAAACCAAACAAATTTGGTTATACTGACCCAAAAGGTACATTCTACTGTGTACCAAAACAATGTGGGTATACTAACCCACAAGTACAAATATTGTGCACCAAAACAATATGGGTATACTGACCCAAAAGGTACAAATCTACTGTGTACCAGACAATAAACAACAAAGGTAACTATGATCCAATAAGTAAATATACACTGTGTGCCAAACCAATAAACAATTAATATGCCAATGAATAACTTTGACTCAATAGGTAAAACCTTGTTCCAAAACAATAAACAACTTAAGCAACACTGATCAAATAGCTACATATCAACTTTTTATCAAAACCATAAACTTGAAAGAGTAATACTGATCCCATTAGTACATAATTATAAACTTTGTACAATGTACTAAAATAATCAACCACTTGAGTAACACCGATTCAATTTGTAAGTATCAACTTTGTATCAACAGTTTAAACCATTAACAACACCAACCCAATAAGTACATAAATTATCCACTATGTACCGAAATGATAAACATCTTCAGTAATCATGTAAATATTGTCTACACCAACCAATTTAGTACATATATTTTGACTACATATTACATGTACAATATTCATTCAATATTTATCAATATACAAAACATGAAATGTTACCTATAAACTTTGTACCAAAACTGATCAAACAATAACGGGCAATTCAAGAAATACCACAGTATAGTAACTATTTGAATTATGTATATAAAGCTTAGTCCACAACCCTTAAACTCCCAAGAGTGAAAATGAGATGTTGGTACCTGTATTAACATGATTACAATACACATTTCTCAACTAACTGTACAAGATAGCTGACATTACCTATCAGATGCCTGTTAAGGAGGAACAGTGTCTTAACGATGCTGCCTAGCTGTTTTACATCATGTTGAATGCAAAAACTTGAAATATGCAGACTATGATAGGTAATTCTTGTAGTTCAACAAAACTAAATAACTTTGCATAAAGTTGCTAACTTAAAAGCTTACACCATAGAGCATGATAGAGTATATATGATTTGAGTATTAAACAATGTCTTTGAATAAATGAAAGTGATAACTTGTACAGAAAAACTATTTGGGAAACCCCAAACGCGTTATGTATAATTGTAAATCACTTATATTTAGTAAACATAATACTGGCCTTCGTCCTCAATTACACGGGAAGGCAAACTCTCTTATGCACGCGGAGAAGCAGCACAGGTGTACGCCGGCTGGACCTAAAACGCCCAAGTCGTTGAGGTTCAGGGTCTCCCGCTGT